TGGTCTGGGGCTGCATGAGTGCTGCCGGCACTGGGGAGCTACAGTTCATTGAGGGAACCATGAATGCCAACATGTACTGTGACATACTGAAGCAGAGCATGATCCCCTCCTTTCAGAGACTGGGCCGCAGGGCAGTATTCCAACATGATAATGACCCCAAACACACCTCCATGACAACCACTGCCCTGCTAAAGAAGCTGAGGGTAAAGGTGATGGACTGGCCAAGCATGTCTCCAGACCTAAACCCTATTGAGCATCTGTGGGGCATCCTCAAATGGAAGGTAGAGGAGTGTAAGGTCTCTAACGTCCACCAGCTTCATAATGTCATCATGGAGGAGTGGAAGAGGACTCCAGTGGCAACCTGTGAAGCTCTGGTGAACTCCATGCCCAAGAGGGTTTCAGGCAGTGCTGGCAAATAATGGTGGCCACACAAAATATTGACATTTTGGGGCCCAATTTGGACATTTTCACTTAGGGATGTACGCACTTTTGTTGCCAGCGGTTTAATGGCTGTGTGTTGAGTTATTTTGAGGGGACAGAAAATATACACTGTTATACAAGCTGTACACTCACTACTTTACATTGTAGCAAAGTATCATTTCTGAAGTGTTGTCACATGAAAAGATAGAATAAAATATTTACAAAAATGTGAGGGGTGTACTCACTTTTGTGAGATACTGTGTGTATGTATGTATATATATATATATATATATATATATATATATATATATCGGGTATTACTGTGGATAAGAGGATGGCAGTGTTATTGCCCTTGCTAGAAAATCAGAAACAGCCATTGCTAAAAATGATGTGCACATATTCAGATTGTCAAATCCAAGGTCTTGTCTGCCACACATATATTCCATCATTTATAACGGCAGCAACAAGATATATATATATATATACACACACACACACAGTACCTCCACCAGTTGCTTGGGGTTAATCAGGCTAATATCCTCCTAAAATTACCATGCTTCGTTTCAACATCCACAGATTCACTGTATCCACAGAAAAACATGCATATCTTAAAGCTATCACACTCTTGAATTCCACAGGTCAGCTGTATAAATATGAGAGATGAGTCTCCAGATATTAGAAGACAATTATTAGTGAAAAAGTGAATAGCGAGCACAAGGAACAAATGTAAACAGCAGCTAGCACAACGTAGCACACCCTCCGTCTCCACCAAACCGACAATAGTAATAATAAAGTGCAGTGCTAAAGAAAAAGAAAATAAAATATCAAACATTTAAATTGTAAACGTACAGGTGATGTACAGTAATTTGAAGTCCCCAAGCAGGGAAAAGATAATAATAGTCCCAAATATGTGATGTGATTGGCCAAACAAATATATGTATGAGTGACTTCTGTGACTTCCGTGTTAAAATTTAAACCAATATTAAACATATAAATTGTAAACGTACAGGTGATGTACAATAATATGAAGTCCTCAAGCAGGGAAAAGATAATAACAGTCCAAATATGTGATGTGATGGGCCAAAGAAAATATAAGTGACTTCCACTATTATGCACTCACCAGAAACAAGTAGCAAACCAGCATAGAAGGGACTGACACTTAAGAGAAACTCTGCTTAAATCTCATACTCCAGTCAGCAGGTCTATCCAGGGGTGAGATCTCTCCAGAAGCCAGCAACAAGTCAAAAGGGAGCAAACTGACACTTAAGGGTGAACTTGCTCCATATTCATCTCCATTTATATGTTTGATATTGGTTTGTATTTTAACGCGGAAGTCACTCATACATATATTTGGCCGATCACATCACATATTTGGGACTCTTTTCCTTGAATGGGGACTTCATATTACTGTACATCACCTGTACATTTACAATTTATATGTTTGATATTAAGATATTTATTAGAATGGAAGGTGGGCCTGCCAGTAAAATGTTGCCTGTGGTCCCAATAACTCAGTTGTGTAGCATTTAATAAAGAATTGTGTTGCTTCTGAATTAATATTCCTTAGTCTCCCTAACAGCCAGCTAAAGATCACATTCAAGAATCCTATCGCATGTTACTGTGGGTTATTGTGTGGCTAGCTTGACACAGTAGCCACACTTTGATTGAGAAAAGTAAAATTATTTTTTTCCCTTTTCCAATGAGGGACACAGAGTATTTAACCTTCATGTTATACTGCTGCCAACAGAAGGAGGTCTATGTTTCATTCCTCACTGATAGAACACGTGGATAGATAGCCATATCATTACATTTCAGCTATGTCCGTTTGCTGGAAACCTCCCATCTCGTAGCCCTCCATCTGTCGAGTTCCTCAGCTGGCAGTGCCTGGACCTGTGGGAGTGATCCCTACAGGCAGAGATGTTCCAACACCTGTATCTCAGGTGGGATACACTGGATGTGGATCTCCTGGCCTCCAGGTACAACAACAAACTCAACAGGCTTTCCTTCTCTGAAACTTCCTTCTCATCTACTTTGCAGAATCTGGATGGAGAGCATTCCTGTGACACCCAAAGGTTGACGACTTTCTGGGTCCCTCAGTGGATAAGAATGGGTTTTTCTTGGAGTCCACTGAGAGAAACAATTCCCACTGCTCTATGTTTATAACATATATTGGTAACGCTTTGCTAGAAAACTGAGGCGGACTCGTCTACTTTTTTTTTTTTTTTACCAGTGTTCAATCCTTCTGTTGGTGACAGTAAAACACAAAGGTGAAAGACTTTCTGTTTCCCAAAGAATGATGTAGTAGTGTGTAAAAAAATATCCTGCTGCAGAAATAAAAAGAAAAATCTTCAAACTGTGCAGATGACCAGTTACTGGCAGTTTAATTACGTATAGTTTGCATTTCTCGGTCCTTTCTTTCTCTAGAAAGCTAATGGGCTCTGAGGCTTCACAGTCATGTGGCTACATATGGAGGCAATATTCCCAGTGACAAGGCCTTAATCACGCAATGAACTTTAGAACAGATGGTGCACCATCTTGTCATCTTGACTCTGTCCCTCATGCCTTACGGAGGTAGAAACTGAAAACTGAAGAAAATATTGTTGTCTTCTAAGTGCACCTGTCACTTTGCAGCAAACTATATGCTGCAGAAGGGGGGATATAGAAAGCCCTGGCAATGTTCCCCCTCACTTTTTATTCCTGTGACACCAGGGCAAGAAATGAAGCATGTTACTAGGACAGAAAAGTACAGATAGCACCAACAATTTATCAGAGGTTCTGTTAGCACACTAAAGAATGTGTTTTTGTTGCTGTTTCTCTTCCCATTGGAAATATTCTTGATAACTTCCCGAACCTTTGTTGTTTGGACAGGAAGTGAGCAGAAATTTCTTTAGAAGTACTTTAACCCATTGCAACACTATCAAAAATAAAAACTGTTGGCTAGAATTGTGCTTCAGGCACATCTGAAAAACTGTTAGTTAACCTCCCTGGCGGTATTCCCGAGTGTAGCTCGGGGTAAAGTTTCAGTACTGCAAGCGGTAAACCCGAGCTACACTCGGGCTTACCATGCGGCGCTGCTCTGGGATCCCTCGATCACTTACCTTGTCCTGCGCTCCCACAATGTCCCTCCTGCAGTGTCCCCGGCAATGTAATCCGGCGGATGCCGGCATCTGTCATCTGGGTTCCGTCCCCTGCGAGCGTTGGGACGTACGGGGGACAGAACGTCGGGAAATTTGAAAATGACAAAAAGTGACATTCACTAAAATCACATAGTAAAACATTACTGTACCAAACCATTTCACATACATTTTGTCCCGAGTGCTTTGTCCTGTGCCCTGCCTGCATTTTTACTGTTCTTTCTGCCTGGATACTGAGAAATGTCCATGGCGTCCAAAAAGCGTCCCTTTAGATCAAAAGCAGTTTTAGACCAGCTAAAGAGCGGCGATAGTAAATTAGAACCACTTGCAGAATTGAGTGATAATGATTCGTGGGGGAAATTCGTCATCAGACACTGAAAACGATTTTGCGACTTTGCTCAGTGATGTGCGAACTTGGCGCTATATTTCAAATTTCAGTGTTTTTGGTTTGATTATATTCTTGAATTAAATTTATATTATATTATTATTTTTTATGATTATTTATTAAATTATAATTTATGATTTCGTGTTTCAAGCTTTATCATACCCGGGATGTTTACTAGACTCTTGTTCGGACAGATTTCAGTGAGTTATTCCTAAAATTACAGGCCTACAATATAAAACGCCAAATTTCCATGCAAAATACCGCTTTCAGCACCAAAAATCTGAAATGATCATACCGCCAGGGAGGTTAAGGTCTTAGTGATTGAGTTGCAACATCGGTACAGATATACAAATGACTTAGGACCTAAAGTGAAACTGCTATTTTGTTGCACACCGTAATAATGGGTGCAAATCTACTAAAAGACTTTAACGTCAATATAGATATCCAAATAATTTGGGAATTAAAGTGGAACTGAATTTTTACCAAAACTACCCTTTCTCAAGATCCTTAACAATACTAGCCCTTCATTTGACACTCTCCTTTGTAATCTCATGGCTTTTGGTCTTACTTACCAGGGAACAAGTTGGACTGCTGCTGCTGCAATTGTTTTTATAGAGACCATCGGTCCTTAGCTGCAAGCTAGTGGCATAGGACAGGTTTTATTAATGGTAGTGGGAAACTCTATCACTGATATGACAGATAAAGCATTGAAAACCTGTTATTCCATTACTCTGTAATGACTTGGTTGGATGTGAACTTACTAAAACACATCAAATAAGCTTTAAAGTATTTTTTTAATTTGTGAAATAAATAAAATATATATACACACACATCATACACATTATACACGCACGTGCACAAAACACAGAAAAGTACCCCTCATTGCCTTTAATTCTGACGTGTCATAAGCATTCAGCTTCTTGTTTCCATAGAAGATAGTGACACAGGTAAAAAGAAGTGGCATCATTGTCATAACTGGCACACAAAATGGCTTTCATTTATTTTACTTATGCTATATGAAATATATTTTTCGTTTAATTTTTCTTTTATGCTTCTTGCAGTTATGGTCACGAGAGCAAGCACTGTCAGCCATGCTTGATAAGTATGTATGTGAGACACAACAACAGATCACCGGAGATGTGTTAGATCGGTTAAGTGGCCTCAGCGAGGAGTAAGTGATCCTTTAAGAAACATTTGTCTAATGGCTTCTCAATATGAAACCAGCTTAAAACTGAACTCCAGGCAGTTGTTAAAGGCGCTAATGAAAACAGCTCTGTGTTCATTAATACGTCCCTAAAGTGATACTAAACATACAATGTTTACTTACCATTATCCCTTCTATTTATGTATAAAGGTCATGCCACTGTATTCAATTTAATATATAAAAATCATTTGAGTACCTTATTTAACCGCTTCCATGCTGCCCTATAGCAGAAATACTGCTACAGGGCAGTACGGTGTGTGCAAATCGCGTATATATACAGTCATGGCCGAAATTGTTGGGCCCCTTGATATTTTTCCTGAAAATCAAGTATTTCACACAAAAAAGGTATTGCATTAACACATGTTTTGCTATACACATGTTTATTCCCTTTGTATGTATTGGAACAATATAAAACAGAGGCAGAAAAGCAAATATGACATAATGTCACACAAAAACCCCAAAAATGGGCTGGACAAAAGTATTGGCACCCTTAACTTAATATTTGGGTTGCACACCCTTTGGAAAACATAACTGAAATCAGTCGCTTCCTATAACCATCAATAAGCTTAAGCTTCTGACACCTCTCACCCGGAATTTTGGACCACTCTTCCTTTGCAAACAGCTCCAGGTCTCTCTTATTGGACAAGGACACCTTTTCCCAACAGCAATTTTAAGATCTCTCCACAGGTGTTCAATGGGATTTAGATCTGGGCTCATTGCTGGCCACTTCAGAACTCTCCAGCGCTTCTTTGCCATCCATTTCTGAGTGCTTTTTGACGTATGTTTGGGGTCATTGTCCTGCTGGAAGACCCAGGATCTTGGACGCAAACCCAGCTTTCTGACACTGGGCCCTACAGTGCGACCCAAATCCTTTGGTAATCCTCAGATTTCATGATGCCTTGCACACAGTCAAGGCACCCAGTGCCAGAGGCAGCAAAACAACCCCAAAACATCATTGAACCTCCACCATATTTTACCGTAGGTACTGTGTTTTGTTCTTTGTAGGCCTCATTCCGTTTTCGGTAAACAGTAGAATGATGTGCTTTACCGAAAAGCTCTATCTTGGTCTCATCTGTCCACAAGACGTTTTCCCAGAAGGCTTTTGGCTTACTCAAGTACATTTTGGCAAACTGTAGTCTTGCTTTTTTATGTCTCTGTGTCAGCAGTGGGGTCCTCCTGGGTCTCCTGCCATAGCGTTTCATTTCATTTAAATGTCGACGGATAGTTCGCGCTGACACTGATGCTCCCTGAGCCTGCAGGACAGCTTGAATGTCTTTGGAACATGTTTGGGGCTGCTTATCCACCATCCGGTACTATTCTGCGTTGCAATCTTTCATCAATTTTCCTCATCCGTCCACGACCAGGGAGATTAGCTACAGTGCCATGGGTTGCAAACTTCTTGATAATGTTGCGCACTGTGGACAAAAGGCAAATCTAGTTCTCTGGAGATGGACTTGTAACCTTGAGATTGTTGATATTTTGCCACAATTTTGGTTCTCAGGTCCTCAGACAGTTCTCGTCTCCTCTTTCTGTTGTCCATGCTTAGTGTGGCACAGACAGACACACAATGCAAAGGTTAAGTTGAACGTCTCTCCTTTTTATCTGCTTTCAGGTGTGATTTCTATATTGCCCACACCTGTTACTTGCCCCAGGTGAGTTTACAGGAGCATCACATGCTTGTAACATTCTTATTTTCCGCAGTTGTGAAAGGGTGCCAATACTTTTGTCCAGCCCATTTTTGGAGGTTTGTGTGACATTATGTCGAATTTGCTTTTCTTTCCTCCCTTTTTTTGTTTTGTCCCAATACACACAAAGGGAAATAAACATGTGTATAGCAAAACATGTGTTTAATGCAATACGTTTCGTGAGAAATACATGATTTCCTGGAGAAATATCAAGGGTGCCAACAATTTCGGCCATGACTGTACATGATTTTACAATTTACGGTAGGGGGGGGGGCGATCGCGTGCCCCCTACCTGCACCACCATTCGCAGCCTCAGCTGTCATAATCATCAGGTCCTGGCTGGTGATTCCCCACCGGCACCCGGGGATCTCCGAGTAATACTGATGGGAGAGACTTGTATGTAAACAATACAGATCTCTCTCCCCTGTCAGCTCCTGCACACTGCTTTGTATGACTCTGCATAGCAGAGCTATACAAAGCAGTGTGCTTACAGTGTAAAGCACACACAGCTCACATAGTAAAAACAGCACACAGTTAACCCTTCCTGCCCAGTGCCATTATTACGGTGTCTGTGCTTTTTATTAGCACTGATAACTGCATTGGTGTCACTGACAAGTCAGTTCCCCCCCCCCCCCCCTTCAGAATGCCCGCCGCAGTCCCTCTATAGGTTGCTGATCGCCGCCATTACTAGTTAAAAAAAAAAATTACAGTATATATACCGCCATTTGTAAACGCTATAACTTTCATGAAAAACAATTAAAATTTATGACGAAATTTGATTTTTTTTTTTACTGGCCATGTTTAACAGCAAGCAAAAAGTCTAAAATATTGTTTTTTTTTGTTAAAATTGTCGGTCTGCCATTGTTTTTTCATTTACAGCACAAAAAATAAATGCACAGCGATCAAATACCACCAAAAGAAAGCTCTATTTGTGGGAACAAAAGGACGTACATTTAATTTGGGTGTAACGTTGCATGACGGCGCAATTGTCAGTTAAAGTAACGCAGCGCCATATCGCAAAAAATGGCCTGGTCAGGAAGGGGGCAAATGCTCTGGAGGGCAAGTGTGGTTATTCAATCACTGTTCAGCAGCCCTGTCCTCAGGGAAACATCTAAGCGAGGAGTTTTTAGTAGTAGTCTGCTGATGTGTGAATCTGTATCTGCACAGCATTGATTGGGGCTGTGCTGGTCACATGACATAAAAAAAGGCTTTCAGAATAGAGAATTAAAATAAATAATAGCAACAAAGTGTTTTAAAGCTTCATACAAGTCTACATTTCAAATTAAATGGTTATTATTTTTTGCAATAACATGGTGTAGGTGGAGTTTTAGCTTGCCTGACAATAGCTTTCACTTTGTTCACACTGTAAGGAGATCTGCCAGTTGTTCTGATCACAGTCTCTGTCACACCCTCCAGCCTGTGTCTATAGTGTGTATTTGTTGGGACTAACAGGGAAGTGAGCCACCATCAATCACCATCTTATATCCCACCCCCATAGTGTTTAGCAAGATGAAGACATGGGAGAAGGAGGAGAGAGGGGTAGTATCATTTACCACTCTGACTCTAAAGTCATGTGGGCTGCACAGATAAGAAAAAGAAGGAAATGAACAGCTTAGAAAGGAACTGAAAACTGGAGCATGCTCAGTGGATGTCAATAGCTGGTCTAAGCAATCTCATGCCAGGCTGCAGCAGGGACACAGACAAGGAAGGAGGGACAGTGAACAGCAGGACCAGGATTTTTTGCAGAATACAGAAAACAACAGCTATGGTGGATGAGTGATTTTGAATACAATGTAATATAGCATGTATTGACAGTTTTTCATGATTTGGGTTTGATGACACTTAATGCAGTCATTACATTACCTATTGGAAATGTTGTATCCCTTTAATTTATCATCAGAAACTAATAAAATTCATATTTTAACTATAGTATTATTTGTTGCATGGTGCTGTTAAAGTAAAGCCTTCTAATTTTTAAAGCGTTCTGTTCATTTTCAGATGTGATACTAGGGTTACCCACCAATATAATATCACAGAAATAAGTGTAGCACTACTAAGCCGAAATCATAACCTGCGTATACAATGAGCTAATATGTCAGCTTTATGTACTTATATAATTATGGTTGAACCTAAAGCTCTAATTCCTAATTGCAACCAATCAGAATTCATCATGATCAAGTCAGACCGTTACATGATGGATTCTGATTGGTTGCTTTCAGATACGAAAGAGTTACCATCCTACTCTGAACATTGCTGTATTGGGTCTCATGCCCCACGCTCAGTGCTACAGATATGATGACTCTCCTGCTACTACTATATCATGTATTCTGGAATCACGTCCATATTACCAGCTTTTGGGATGCTCTACTTTCTAGGATGGAAGCTCACCAATGGTTAACTGGCGTTCAACATCCAAAGTCTGTCTGTTAGATATTACTAATGACTTTGTACCCTTAACACATGAATGCATTACATTTTGTTATTTAGTTTTCCAAGATAGGTAGACTATACTAATCAACTGGAAAAGTCCTAACCCTCCAACACTATCACAAGTATCCCATGTAATCAAAGCAGATCTCCCCAAGCTTAAAATTATCTTCTCTAGCAGAGCCTGGCCCAGTAAATTCCATTAAATCTGGAATTTGTAGATAGAATCCCTTACAGCGTAAGGTTTTGATGGTAACTATCTTAAATATGATTTTTTAGACCTGCGTGGATTTAAACTACCTATGTTATATGTATTGGGGAGGGAGAGGGCACTGAATTCTGGTTGGATGAGTATGTGTTATATTCACCAGCACCTGTTATTACCTGGATATTTGGTCCTGTGTGACCCTGACCGTTTTCTATTTTTTCTTTTCTGCATGTGTGTCATGGAATGGTTACGCTGGTTTGTTACCTCCATACAAACTTTATGCAAAGCAGAAATAGACACCTTTTTGCATCAGAATAAAAAAAAGAATTGGCACTCTTTTATGAATGTCAGCAAATGCAGAATCAAAAGTTTACACCATTTATTATGACCTGATAAGATCATTTATATCAGTACAATTAGCTTTATAAGTGTATCTATAGAACGTGCAGGGGAACTTTAGGCAGAAAATTAAGTCCTGCTAGATTACTTCAGGTGTGTTTTTGCAGGAATAGCTATGTAAACCATTAAAAATAGGTGCCTATACTGTGTAAAATCCAGTAATGCACAGTTTCCCCCTGCTCTGCACATGCACAGTTGCTCTCTATCTTTTGGCACTGCCGAATTTGTAGAGTCCGGTCTACTGACTG